TGAGAATTGACATGAAGAGAACGTTGCATTTTCCAACTTGGACGATGAAGTTATCTTCTCTAAAGCAGCTGAAATGGCTTTCAATGTAATAATCACAGTTCTTATTTAGATGATTTCTTCAAGTACATTATACCTGTTAAATCTATGCTCTCTTCAACTATATCAAAATCGACATGAATGCTGAAGCTATCTCTGCTAAAAAGATGTTGTCTAATGCTAGATAGATTCCTAAGGGACGTCTCATTTTTAACAGCTGCCTCTGTTATATTTTTGTTTTTATGCGGTGTATACATGATGGAGTGCTCGCTACGCAATGTACGGCCGTTCTTTATGTAAGGTATCAAATATGACAGATCCGATGGTTTCTGCACTGTACTATTTGCTGATTGAATGGACACTTGTGGTTTATGCGTTTTTACTAAAACACAGATAACATTTGATGTTAATTTGGAAGAGTATAAGCGACGTATGTACAAAGAGTACAAATTCTCACAAACCTGTATAGGGTGTTCTAATATAAACTAGACTATTTTCATCGCACGGCAAACCATAAATTGTGGATGGAAAGTTCATGGCATTTGATAAGCTACCTGTAATACACGCATAATTTCATTAGCTTAATTTTTCCTTGATAATGCATTAGTGCCTACTTGCATAGTATACTACAGAGTGGACGTTTTAATAATCATTGGACATTATGTACCATGAATGGAATCTCCTTGACCTCTCACAGTTTTTTCATGCGTTGTATTGTTCATAATTGTAGCTAAAGCAGGCTGTAATCTTTGAACAACATTCAATACTAATTCACATCGTTTTATCACTCGCAATTGTTGAGGTTCCGTTGCATTTTCCACCAGAAGAGTTTTGGCAGCGGTGTTGGCTTCAAATATAGCTATAATAAAGAGTCTGTGCACAATATGCACCAGCAACCTACATATATATTTTAATTGTAATAATACAGAATCAGTTACCTGCTTTCAATTCTCTTGTCATCATTATCGTTTGACGATCAATGTTTTCAGTGCCAATGTCATTTATAATTGCTGTGACTTGACTAGACAACGCTGAAGCACGTTGAACGATACCTTGCACTTGAAGTTGTGTTACTGGCTCTCTGTTATCCAGACAATCTGAGATTGCCGTTACACGTTCTTGAAGACTATCCATAACTACCTGAGTATAAAAAATATATTCAAGTACACTCTCTCTCTCTTAAAATCCTTATAATCCTTTATAATTCATTATATTTACTTGACAGAAAGCAGCCGAGTTTATAATGAGATTTACAGCATTCTGAAACTTATTCATCTCTAACTGCCACTGCATAGTCAACAGTTTAACACTTGAACGCATTTCTTTGTTATCTGGATGTAAATAGAAGGAAATTATGGCAGAAATTAATTCAGTTTCTAAGGATTCGAATCCTGCGAGACAATTACGAATTTTGTTATTGCCTGAAATAATCAAATTTACATTAGATGTTTTTTATTGTTTAAAAAGAATGTTAAAAAATTTATGAAGAAGGGCAACTTACGGTTCTTGTCTTTGCAACAAGCGATCGCAAATATTCCAATTTGCATAGTTTGATCAAAGAATTGGTCAAAATCTTCTATGAGATCATTTAAATCACTTTTCGACCTTCTTTTCGCGCTTAACGAATTTCCGCATGTCATAACAAGTTTTTTTAAAGTAATGTAAGGATTGCCGAATACTTCCATTGCGAGCGTTAGTACAGCTATATTAACTTTACGTTCCAAACGATAAAGAGCGTCGGTCAAGGTATGCATGAACAAGTTATTTAACGCCGGATCTGGGGTCTCTGAGAGTAATTGCTGCTTTAATTTCTCATACTCCAACACTATGGATTGGCATGAACCAGTTATGTCTTTAAAATTATATGGCTGACACACTTGGGTAATTGCCATAGCATGAGAGAAGACGTCCTCCAGTCTCAACCACAGTTCCGCACATTCAGATAGCTGCTGTTCAAGCATTTTGCTCGGTATTTCTAATATAACGTCTAATGCCAAATCCATTCTACAAGTATATCAGAATTATCGTATCAGAATTACTTCTGTAAATGTAATATTGAGTATAAGAAGTATTTATTTTCTCACCTGTAAACGAAATGATTCTCCCTTTCACAGGTTTCCTTTTCCAGCAATGGATTTGAATCATTCATCAAATTCAATATCATTTCACAACAAGTGCATATTCTTTCACAAACATATTTCTTGCAAGCCTGTATATATTTGTTGAATGTAAATATAGAGTTTAAATTATGCAAAAAAATAAATGTAAAATATATAGTTTATTACATAAATTGGTGCATTTAACTGATGCTGTTCCTGAGCCAGTTGTACTAGCATTTCAAATGATGTGCATAATTGAGAAGTATATAAAGCTAGATTCTGTGACAGAAAAGCAGACGCTAAACTTTTTCTGTAATTCTGTAGTGGCTCGAGTATCTCTAATATCGAAGTGCCTAATTCCTAGTTTAAAAGCACAAAGGAAATTTATATTCACATTAAAAGATTTTAATACACATTTCAATTTTTTATCTCATTGTTACCTTTATATTTTGAAGATCCTCAATGTCGCTTGCTGTTCTCATCTCTTTAACATAATCCAGACAATCCTGAAGTCTCTGCTTCAATGGCAAGCATTCTAAATCTTCCAGCACTCGTAAAGCTGATGTAAAATTATTAAGCAATGATTCCGTTTTATGTCTGGCGGCATTGCTATCAATATTATCGCATTTAATATCCTTAATCTAAAAAAGATAATAAGGAACAAAGGAAAACAATTGAAACTCATTTAACCCTTACCATACCATCTACAATTTGGTGCCTCATCCATACCATCAAGAGTCACTTCAAATCTCTTCGTTTTTTCACCTCTTCAAAATAATAAAAAAAATCTTTAAAAATTCACCAACATGCTTTCAACTTTCCAGAATAAATATTGATTCTTTATTGGTAAAATAATAAATTGGAAAATGTAGTATAATTTATAATTACCGAAAGACTCAAAGAAACTTGCACGAACAAGAATCGCTCGGTCACTAGTTATCCATATTAGTACGGTAAGGGTTAATAGGAATAAAAACAATATCAAATACAAGATACTTTTGTAACTTACAAGCTCATCGATATTTTTCAATAAAGAAGTATATTTCAAATTTGTTACTGTATCAGCAAATTTTACATTTGCTTCTTCACAGTCGCAATTATCATCGTCTAAATTATTGAATCTCTGAATTAAAAAATGCAGTTGTTCGTGGAGTAACGATTTCGTAACCAAAATTTCTGATGGATTAATAGAAGCAGTAATCAGCAATAAATACAATTTGTTAATCTAAAAAGAAAATAAGAAGTAATTGTGACTTACATTCTTAAGCAATAAGTTAACTACAGTCTCTAGAATTTTTATATTTTACAACGTGGAGTCTATGTATTTTTCATAGTTGGCTTGGTTAAACGTACAACTATTAAATCGATCGAAAATTAACAAATTTGATTACTTGCTGCTCCAAAAGCTCCAGCAGCTTCCTCGTTTGTCTCGTCTTCAATTCCATTGTAAAATTTTATTTTTCAATTCCCACAGCTTTTTGAAACTTCAAAATTCATGCGTTTCAACGGCGGAATATAAATAAAGTGAATTTAGTAACTTAACCAGGCATGGCAACCAACATCTGCCGCTAATATCACAGGAAATATCTGTTTTGCTGGATTCACACTGCATCCAATTTCGTCGTACGACGCTCTGCAACCAATCAAAAAACAGGATTCCGATGATACAAAGCAAAATCCATCGGAATCCTGTTTTCTGATTGGTTGCAGAGCGTCGTACGACAAAAATCGGATGCAGTGTGAATCCAGCATAAAGCCTTGTGTCCACGATGCCAGAAATCGGTCCGAGATCTCGGATGAAGAAAGTATTGACCAAACGCGATGGTCATGTGATCAAATTGTTCAAATGTGATTTGTTAATTTTTTCTCTGTCCGAGATCTCGAACCGATTTCTAGCATCGTGGACACAAGGCTGTACAGCGTTTTCGGCCCGATCGGGTTTGCACCAAACCTGGGTTGGATTAATGGCGTTTTGTGCTCTCCTATTGGTAGAGCGGGTGACGTCAACCAATAGGAAAGATTAATCCAACCCAGGTTGGTGCAAACCCGATCGGGCCGAAACGCTACTAGAATGGACCGCTGATGGCAATGATGGGGGTAGAAAGACGATTAGAGTGAGAGGCAGGAATAATAAGATCGTTCTTTCTCTGTTTACTGTGTTTCTAACTAGCCTGATTGGTTGTTGTTAATCCAACAACCAATCAGGCTTCAGTAAACAGAGAAAGAACGATCTTATTATTCCTACCTCTCACTCTAATCGTCTTTCTACCCCCACCATTGCTATCAGCGGTCCATTCTAGATGTCGATGTGCAAACCCGATCGGGCTGAAAACGCTATTAAGCCCGATGTCCACGATGCTAGAAATCAGTCCGAGATTTCGGACAGAGAAAAAATTAACAAATCACATTTGAACAATTTGATCGCATGACCATTGCTATTGGTCAATTCCTTCTTCATCCGAGATCTCGGACTGGGGCTCTATTCTTGAAAAGCAACGTATACGAAAGTCTATGGAAATGCTACAGTATATGTTACGTATACTATAGTATTTCCCTAGACTTTCGTATACGTTTCTTTTCAAGAATAGAGCCCCTGATTTCTAGCATCGTGGACACAAGGCTTTAACCCGGATCCTCATACAGGCAACAGCGCTTTAACACCGAACGCAGATTGTGTCAAAACGCTGTTGCCCGTATTGCTGGATTCACATTGTATCCGATTTTCGTCGTACGACGCTCTTTAACCAATCAGAAAACAGAATTCCGATGATTTGAAGCAAAATCCATCGGAATCCTGTTTTCTGATTGGTTGCAGAGCGTCGTACGACGCAAATCGGATGCAGTGTGAATCCAGCACATGATTGCACTGAGCTACGCTTTCTGCACTTAAAACGATAGGGGTCTAATTAGCATTAAAGAAAAAGAGAAAAAGGACGAAAAAATTCAATGGAATCTGTGAATTAGCTCAATTACCTAATCTAACCTATTTTTTTAAATATAACCTGACTGACGAGACGCGCGAAAGGATAGCGTGAATGCAGTGCAAATTTCTCTGACGAACATTTATCTTTCCTCTTTTTTTTTGGCGGACAGAGATTTAAAAATAAAATCTCCACATATTCTGCTTCCAGTTTATTACATTTTAAAATGTTCTCCAGAGACAGAAAAGGCGAGATGGAGATTGATGTGATGTTGGACGAACCATGGACCAGTGATTCGTGCACAAAAGTCGTGATGGAGCTCATAAAATATATTCTGTATCAAAAGCAGCAGATACCCTTAACATACGAGGCGTTAGAGAGGTTCCAGAATACAACAGATAGGAACGCAGTCTCCTTCAAAGCTCTATCGAGCACCCTGAAGAACGTTGAGGATCATTTGTCCTCGCAATTCTTCCTCAAGGGTTGCGATATAAAAGAAGTTGCCCTAATACTTGGCGCTACGATACTATCACCGAAATTCTACATTGGCATAGACCTTCCCTCGTATGTTCTCAACAGCAAGCAACACAAAGAGTATCAACATTCTTCTAGGAAACCGCTTTTGAAACTTATGAGGTTAATAAAGAAAAATAATAATAGAGTACGCTCATGAATTTATATCATAACACTTGTACAGATTATTATATTTCTAGGTCTATGTTTGAATGTGACGAGTTTCAGAAGGCTATGAATGCTCCTTTAAACATGACAAACATGTTTATTATGCTGAAGAAGAGCGACAGTAATTCGGTATCTGATTTCTTTTTACCTAAACCGCAATATGTGCCATCTGTACAAACAGCAGGTTGCTTCAAGATTAAACTATGTCAGAGTGATCAAGTAGAGATACGGTGCAACTGTAGGACACTTATTAAAGTGTATCATGACTCGTGTATGACTTACTTAGAGAACGAAGATGATGTGCAATATACTCAGTATAATAATTCTACTCAGTCTTCCTATCAATGGTATCAATCAAAACAGGTCATAAAAGGATTTAAATTCTATTTGTGACCATAACTTTGTAGCATGACGTAGCAGAATTCAAAATTTTTATAGATTAGGATGATAAATTTTTTCTACCATGTTATAAATAGATTTATATTATGCATATTCGTTATTATATAATTACGATTAACGAGATGATATTAAGCACTATTGATATATATGTTTTTACTGCTGATATTGCATTGTCAGTATGACTTGACAAATGTCTTGAGGTCATAAGATAGAAATTTCCAGTCGCTATCAAAGAGAGCAAGACATTTTTCTTTATCAACGTACTATAAACATGAAAAGTCTTATGATACAAAATTATGTAATAAAAATTATAGTAGCATATATAAAATTATGTAGCAATAGATTTTTTATTGATTAATAGATAATTATAATCAAATGATGAGATGAGAATATTATTGCCGATTTATTATAGGAACAATTTTGTAATTGCTATGGATATTTTATTTTGTACACATAATTAAAATGTTAAATATTTTTTTCTGTATCGAACTGTTTTATTGAGCAATTAATTGTTACGCCACTAATCTGTCTTATAAGTTACGCAATTATTAAGAAATTTTATAAAAGGATAAGAAATGTACAAGATGATGTTTAGGCAACAATGATTATACATAAATGTATACTTTTTATCATGTACAGATAATCCCTCCCAAAGAAACATTTTTAGGGTAGGGCAAACTATATATTAGTCGTTGTCGCGAGACGCGACATGGCATTATTTAACTCTGAAAGAGAGAGAGAGATTATTAACATCTCGTATAAAAGTTTCGCAATTGAAAATGGTCGCTTTGAAATTTTTAACGCCGGAACAGAAGCAATTTTGGGAGGATAATGGTTTCATCAAGTTGAATGTATTTTCTACGAAGGAAATAAACGAAATGTCAGATGCTTATAATGAATTGTTTGAAAGAAAATTTCGTGAAAATATGGAGGGTTTGGAGTCGAGATGGACTGGACAAGATATGAAGAAATTGGCTGGAAGCATTGCTGAAGATTATACTGTAAGTGAACTTATTACAGCCATTCTGTAAAACTTGATTTATTATAGGCAATTTGTTGTTTGTAAATTAGAATTACATTACATATATACAGGCTGTCTAACAACTACTGCATTTCCTCTTAAGAATGTATTCTTGAGGTCATTTTGAGACAAAAATTCTAATACAAAAATATCGAGGCTACAATAGTTTTTGAATTATAATTGGTTAAAGATAGTGTGTAATTCGAAAACTCGATATTTTCATATTAGGATTTTTGTCTTGGAATGTTCAAAAGAATCCAGAAATAATAATAGAGGCTCTAAAAGTAAAACGGTTTTTTACTTATAAGCATTTAAAGTTAGCTTACAATTAAAAAAATTATTGTAGTTTCGACATTTTCGTATTAGAATTTTCATCTCAAAATTACCTCAAGAATATGTCCTTAAGAGGAAATGCGGTAGTTTTGAGACACCCTGTATATACAAGATTTTTAAAAATGCACTTGAATTTTTCTGAAATTGAGAATTAAAATTGCGCTACATTGAACATGTTTAACAAAAAAAAAACAAAGTTGACCTGTATTTGATCCTTAGTGTCTCCAACCAAGATTACATGGTTTCAGATAAATTTAAGTGCATTGATTAAAACACCCTGTATATTATGTTATACTATATTGTACATATTCTCGTTTATAAATCAGATAAAATCAATCCACAATTTGCAAATGCACAACGGAATTTTTACTCGGACCATAATGCACTCAAAATTATTGGACGCTCTTGAGGATGTTATGGGTACCGAGGATATAATGTTGCATCATACCAAGGCGCACTTAAAGCCGCCAGAGAAAGGATCACCTTACTTGATGCATCAAGACTATCCTTATTTTCCTCACAAGAAACACACTATGCTGGCTGTCTTTATACATATGGACGATACAACGCCGGAAAATGGTGGTTTGGCGATATATCCCGGCAGTCATAAACTAGGACCGTTGAAGGCGATTAAAAAGTCCGATGATTGGGGTGATCCTATTTACTACGTCGATCCTAAGGAATACCCTTTGTCCAAAGCTACTCCCATATCAGCCAAAAAGGGTGAAGTTGTCTTCTTCTCTTACCTAACACTTCATGGTTCGTATCTGAACTTGTCTGATAAAACTCGACGCATGTTTCTCATACAATTGAGAGCTGCCGATGATGAACCGATCCAGGATGTGCACAATTCCCCTTGTCAAGGCTTGATGCTTCGCGGTAAAAATATTTACAAAGACGCATTGATAACCAACAGATATAAACATTAAGCGAATATTTACTTTTAAATCTGATTGAATGAATGAAGAATGATTTTGACTAAATTTTAATATGTATAAGACTGTACATTATGTTTCAATTATTTTTCTATTCAACGATTTTCCTATTGCTAGATTCTTCCTTATTTTCTGAAACTTCATTTTAATCTTAGCGACTCTCAAAGATTTTTCTGAAATCATTGACTGATGTGTATCAAATTATTTTAATAAAATATCTCTATCTTTAACATATAAACCACGTTGTATACATCACTCATTGCAATATAAAGCACTTCCTTCAAAAGTAATTAATACAAGGAATTATCAAACTCTCTGGTATTTTGCTCGCCAAAGTGGAGGTATTATCAGATGTTTTGTGTCTCTTTCCATTTTACACGTTGCGTGTAAAATGTAATATCACAACTGGGAGGATAAAATTAAAGAGCAGCGTGAGAGACGATTCTCGACGAAAGTCCATGTAAATATTGATTGCTGTCAGTTTTTTCAGATATTTTTTTAACAAACACATAGCTGTGTCTATTTTTATTGTTACTGTTATTTGCATTCTGACGTAGCCGCTTTTTTCGTACATTAGGAGAACAGTTAAACGATTCTGAACGTGCAAGAGAGAATACAGACTGAGTTAAAATCTGCAGTGATTCTCATAATCATAATTACTAACAACAATATTGTTCACGTCATTTGATTGAACAGTGACGTAAAGATACTCGTCTGTTCCGGATAGCGAATGTATATACTGTCGCCCAACAAGAGAAAAACGTATATTTTGCTGAAGAATACACAAATGGAGATTGCGAAAAAATAAATACAGAGATACATCCATAATATATCGAATAACGACGAATGTATAGATAATAAAGTAAAAAAAGAAAGAAGGGTCTTGATGTTGAATCACGATCGCGCAGATACGAATTTCGCGCGCGTTCCTGTTCACGTCGCGAGACAGGAGTCGGACGAGTGAAACGAGTGGAATATTCCGCGATTTTACGCGAACGAGGCGAAACGCGAGCATTTCGGCAAAGTGGGAGGGAGGGAGGGAAGGAGCGGAAGAGAGAGATAGAAAAAGCTCGCGGACGCGATTTATTATCGAGGCAGATGCCGCGATTTCGCGAGGGGGAACGAAAGTGTTGAACGCGCTGGAACGCGTCGCGTTTCTCGCGAGTCTCAGGACTCTCGGGAGTCTCGGCCTCTCGGGAGTCTCGGGTCGCGTAATCGCGAAAATGCGAAAAGTGGAGGGGGACAGGGACGCGAGGAACGCTTGGAAGGTGGACCGCCACCGCCACTAGTGTTGTCG